CCCGCAGCTGGGGCGCCCGTTCCTTACCCGCCCCATCTGCAGGGCGGCTCTGAGTCCGGCCCCGCGGAGAGGCTGGCGTGAGAAGCACCCGGAGTCCTAGGGGGCAGCGGTGACCGAGGAGGTAACGAGCTCACTTGGATTCTCTTCCTTTTCCACCAAGGCGAGACGCACGGATTTCTTTGGGGTCGTGCAGGAGCAGGTGCTCACGGCCGGGATGCGGAAAAGAAGCCAAAGCCGCCTCGTTCCACCGTGGGCCATCCCCTCGCGGGCTTCTCCAGCTCAGGCTTCATTTTTCTACTTCGCTCGCTACTTCCTCTCTTCCTTTCGTCCTCTTTCCGCCCAGTCGCTGCCGCCGCTAGCTTCCTCCGAGGAGCGACGCGACTGGCCAGCAAAGGGTGGTTCTGCTCGGAGCGCAAAGTTCTCCCCGCCTCAGCCGGCGCCTCCCTGTTGCTGAGCCTTGGCACCAGCCGGTCGCTTGGCTGCGCTAAACGCCCACTGGTGGTGAGATTCCCGGTAGACGCTTCCTGCGCGCCTGGCAAGGCCTCTCCCCTCCAAGGCCAGGAGTCCGCAGTTTGCCACATTCCCTGCGACCTCGGAGGGCGTGGGCTCCCAGCCGGGGAGAATTCCGAATTTGGAGTTGCGCCCGAGGAATCTGAAATCCAGTTGTTCACTGGGATAAGCTCAGAGAGGCTGGGACTTTAATGAGCTTCTCTTCCCTGTGTTGGTTTACAGGTATTTTGAGTTAAGGATATTAAAGCAAGAATCGTTTACACATTTAATCCCCTCAATTCCTTCTCTCTGGCATGTGGGCCTCTGCGGTTTTTAAGGATCCCTATGTTTTTAGATTTTCAGAATTAAAGTAGTGAATTTAAAGCAATCATTTGATTGAGAAATTAAAGAGATTCAACATACTTTTAGAGTTTCAAATACAGTCAACAGCATTTCCTGGTTTAGACCAGAAGTCCCCCAGAGCACTGCTTCTAGTAAGTTCTTTCATTTGTATGCTAATACGTGAGGTCAGTGGGTTATGACATCATCTTTTCCTCCATGATCTACATGATCTGGAATTAGAAGGGAGAAGTTTAAGAGGAGGTGTGTGGTTCTCACACATACGATAAATTTAATTTATGCCACAATATCAGTTCGGAGAGTAGGGGCCAAGCCCCGGGAATCAGCAATTCTGAATTTCATCACCAATTCAAGAGAAGCATGACCTTGGCAATTTATTTCACCTGACCTTGGCCTGTTGTTTGGATCTGTTAAATTGTTATGCAAATACAGCTGGCTTGGAGCTCTGGAGAATTGTTTTGATTCCTGAGCTGAAGTTCCCATCATGCTTTAAATCCTAAGGATGAAGAGGCTCTATCTAGCTAAATAAAACCCCCAAGAAGGTTGCAAAGTGAATGCCATTTTCCTCAGACTTTTAAAGGCATCTCAGTGCAAAAGGTACCTGACTCTCAAAATAGCCCTTCCAAGGCTGGGGTGCCAGAGGGGAGAAGAGGCTTCCTAGATCTAGAGGGAAACGTGAGCATCATAACAGAGGGTGAACCACCAGGGAAGAGTTTCCTCCTGAGGCCCCGGAGAGCATCCTAACCATGGGTGCTGGAAATTCCTCTGGCTCCACAGGAGTCCATGGATTGGGATCTGAGTAAGAAGAGTAGAATTCCCTGGTCCTTGTATTGTAGGAAGATTGGGACTCCATGACTGTGTAGTAAGGAGGTTTGCTTGCCTGTGTAGGAGTTTGTGTGCTTTGAGGAGGTTCACATTCCAGCTTGTGATCATGACCCGAGTGGGACTCTTAAGTTCCTGGCATTACACAGACATTCAAATCTGTTTCCTAAGAGAATAGAAGGTGATGAAGAATAGAGAGGTCTGATCTAGTAGGCAGTTAGACAGACATGAGCAGAGTAGGAACGATAGGCCAGGTACAGGAGGTGACCAAGGTCTAATACCTGGTGCTGTTTGCGGGTAACAGATCTATTGGTTAATGGCATCCTACAGTCACTGTATGCTCTTTAGGCCTCTCACAAGTCCATGACAACCTTGAGGGAATGGCTCAACTTGTGGTTCATAGAAGAGAGGATGATTCCCACAGTTCTGGGGTTAGTGCTGCCCCAGGTCGTGCTAAAACTGCAGCTGCACCCTGGCCAGTATGACTCAGTTGGTTGGAAAATCGTCCCATGCACTGAGAGGTTACCATTTTGATTCCCGGTCAGGGCACATGCCAGGGTTTCGGGCTTCATCCCCAGTAAGGGGGCAGGGGTGCAGGAGGCAGCTAATCAATGTTTCTCGCTCATCAATGTTTCTCTCTCAAATCAATAAAAACATATTTTTTAAAAAAAGACTGTAGCTGAATCGTGTGAATACTGTGAACAGTGAAGAATAGCCCTTTCTTCCTGTGCTTCCTTTTGCTTCTTTCCTGGGCTTTGCAGTTATGATACACTGATTTCCCCTCCCTTTCTATTGCTGCCTGGTCCTCTTTTTCCATATCACTATAATCTGAGCATCTCTGACATGATTCTTTTTTCTCCTTTCCCCACATCTTCCTTTTTCCTTTTCCCCCTTCTCCTTCTCCTTTTCCATGCTTCAATGATCATAATTTTTCAGATTCAGTCATCATTTCAACAACCATTTATTAAGCTCCTACTATCTGCCAGGCTTTGCTGTAGGACTCTCCTGGGGATAGATGATTAAAGTCTAGTTCAGAGAATTTGAGTTTCCCCCACAAAGTCATATAGTTAATGAGTGAACAAAATGCTAACATTGAGCTTATATTCTAGTGGGAGAGACAGACAATAAAACACAAATAAGTGAATATAGGATATGTTAGTTGATGATAAGGAGAAAAATAAAGCACCAAGAGGAAATATTAAGAGAGTGGCTTCTAAGCTTAGATAGAGCAGCCGGAGAAAACCTGGCTGAGAAGATAACTTTTGAATAAAGACCTAAAGGGACGTGAGGAAGCAATTTGTTTGGATACTTACAAGGCAAGAATCTCCAAGCTGAGGGAACAGCAAGTGCGAAGGCCCTGAAGCAGGAGTGTTTCTGATGTGTTTGAAGAATAGTGAGGTGTCCAGAGTTGCTGGAGCAGAATGATCCAGGACAAGAGTGGTGGCAGGTGAGGACAGGAAGGTAAGAAGGATGTGATGGATCATGTAAGTCAATGAATAACATTAGTTTCTACTCTGAAAGGAATGAGAAGGCATTGGGTAGGGGGCATTAAGGAGAGTAGTGACAGAACCTATGTTTTTACAGGGCCACTCTAGCTGCTCTGTTGATAACAGATGAAAGGTGGTCAAGAGTGGACATCAGAGACCAGGCATGAAGCTGTTACAATAATCTACACGAGAGAGAACATTACTGAGAGATCACAACAACAACTTTATCAGGTTGGAATTATTATCCTCATTCTGTAGATAGGAAATTGTGTTTGAGGAAAGTTGGGTAATTTGCATGAAGTCCTCACGTAGTGAGCGAGGGGCAGTGTGGCTCTGAATTCTAAGTTCATCCCAGCTGCATTGTTGGTAGCAAGAATCAGCCCAATTTCAGAATTGGCTCACCCAGAGGCGACGAAGCACTTTATATTACCAGGTTGGAAATGAGAACTACTCATCTACTCACGTTGGGAAGTCAAATAAACAAAAACAAATCCAAATGCTGGCAATGTAAAAAGTGCTTTTGTGCACATCTGTGCTTCCTGGTACCAGCGATGGGGTGACTAAAAGCTGAGTATTCTGGAGGTGGCCCGGGAAAGCTGCAGTGAAGGCCACGGTGGGAGTCAGAACTTCGATTCTATCCTCAGCACTGGTTCCCTATGAATGTGACATTTAACGTCCCAAAGCTCAAGCTTCCTGCTTTCTACTGGGGTCCTTGTGACAGTTCTTTCCGATGGTCTACACGGCTGTGCGTGGACCCCCGTGACTCCCGTCAAGTCCCTTAGAAATGGGAGGCTTCTCCAGGGCGATCAGTTTGTCACATATTTATAAAAGTTTGGACAACTATTTTTTTTTGGCCTATATCCTGACATATTTCAAGTCCTACCCATATCTAGCTTTGCTTTGTAAGTAGGAATAATAGTAAGTGGAATGTTTTTAACTCTGGGTCAGGCTTTTATGCAGCAGTAACAAGGTAGGGTTGCTTTTTTAACCAATATTCACATGATAGATGTGCTTATCGCTCATTAATAATACCCATAAGCCCATATTGTATCCCTCCCCACATCAATTTTTTTTGTCTCTGTTGCCAGAGGCCTTGTTGTTATGAGAACCTTTCTGGGTAAAAACAAACCAAAAAATATGTGGAGTTGATAGGGAAACGATGTAGCAGAATTTGAGGAGAGAATGAATCTAGAAAAAATTAGGTCAGTTTAGAGGAGCAGACCCCATCAAAGAATAATTATTCTTTTCTCATTCCACCAATTTAAAAAAAAGCCAATATTGACTTGATACCTAATAACACTGTCCTATATCCTACTTATTAGGCATTAATTTTGGCAATAGTCATCTTTTTAAAAAATGCAAATAACTCATGATTATGGGACTACCCACCCATCAAACATTACTATAAATTATTTTACCCTGAATGTTGTAAAATTGATATCCTGTTGGGAATTTTGGGAGCAGGAGGAATTCATTTTGCATTACACAGGAATTTGGGGACATAGAAAAGGACCAGGTGGGGTCTCACAGAAGGAGTTTAGGCCAATCTGAGGGTCTGGAAACAGAAGAAAAGGAGCATTAGGAACTAAGAAAACAGTGTAAAGAAAAAGTAGCAAAAAGTTAATTCCCTTTGTCTATTTCAAATAGTCCTTAGGCTTTGTTTATGCTGGAACATATAAAGGGAAAGGTCTTCCTTTTGCACCATGTGATCAGCTATACCCAGGAAAACAAATTCAGGCCAGAGCCATTACCTAGAGATAAATTAGGGCTTGCCAATAGTTGTTTGCCTTTCAAAAATGAAAAAGAACACTGTGGTGTCCTCAGTCTAGCTGTTTTTTGGGGAATAAGCTATCAGTTGTGACAAGTGCATGGCCTTTTCAATATCCACCAGGATTATTGGCTGAGTGTTTAGATGTCTTGATTCCTCTCCTAAACCACACACTACAAGGGAATAAAATAGGACTGGGGAGGGGGGGACCAATATGGCAGTGTCTCTCAGTCTCTCTCTCTCTCCCCCCCCCGCCCCTTGGTGGCAATCATTCCAACATAGTGTTTATCCAAATGAGTTATGGAATAAAACTTGGCCCATCACAGACTGCGACATTCATAAGGGACTTTTTTGTGCCCAGTTTGTAGCACAAATTTTATACCTGTAGCCAAAAGAATTTGGGAATTTTCTAAGTGCTATTTGCCTTCATAGATCTCCTGCCTTATATCTGTAAAAGCACTTTGTTTAAGAAAAATTGTTTTGTTTCTTTAGAAAGAGACTTTTAGGAAGATTTTCAGGACATGTATAGGAATTCAGAAATCTTTATTATTCTGGAGCTTATTATTATCTTAACTTCTACAGACCAGGCACTTTGTATGGATGATCTCCTACTTTCATGAATAGACTGCTTATCTTTATTGTATAGATAATGCAG